CTCCTATGTCTGGATGGTGAGATCCTGAGAGGCTAAGAACCACTGTACTATGTATAGATTCTGGGCAAGACCACACCCATTGTTTCCCATGCTTGCTGTTGATCTCATTTTTTAATTTAATTTTAAACTTATTATTATTTGTTTTTTTGAGACAGGTTTTCTCTGTGTAGCCCTGGCTGTCCTGGAACTCGCTTTGTAAACCAGGGTGGCCTCAAACTAAAATTCCTCCTACCTCTGCCTCCCAAGTGCTGGCCAGGGTGTATGCCGCCACTGACCAGCGCGTTAGTCTCGTATACTAACCTGCACATCCATCTCCAGTCAACATGGGCCCTCAAGTATGCATCTGTTCACAGATAGTCCACTCTCAGGAACGGACAGTTGAGGTCCATGTGGGCTTAGCATCATTTGGTCCAGTAAACTTGGGGCTCTGGATTCCCAGATTATAGTCTAGGGATGTGTGGGTGGGTTTATGTGTGGGGTTCTCTCAGTACCCAAGTGGGCACTTCCTTGATGCCCTGGGACTCTTCAGCCCACAGGGGACAAAGCCCAAGAAGGCTAGAGTGAGGCCCTCTGCTTGGGTTTAAGTGAGTATTGATATTTGGTCCTCATCTTGAAGCAGCCCCCATAAGGAGGTTGAGGATTTGGGGAGAGGTTAGCGAAGATGTGGAGGTGCCTGTGGTTTCCGATGGCTAGCCCAGATCGTTGTCACCTAATCCACACAAAGTGCGCTATCACCGGGTCTCATGACCCAGGTTCAGCCCCCCCCCCCCCCCCCCCCCCCCCCCCCCCCCGCCCTGCCCCCCCAGTGTTGACTATATTCTGTTCTTGGGTTACGCCGAGTGCAAGTGCTTTTTTCCTTTTATTTATTTTTTCCTTTATTCCCATGTGCTGGTTTAAGGGAAGCAGGGAACAAATTCCCAGGTGTGTCTCTGCTCTGGTATGAGCGGGGTGTACTTGAATAGTGAACAGCTCAGAAGTTCTCAGATTTGGATAATTGGTCTTAATACATGTAAATACTGTGGAGAGTTTGGGAACCTTGCTTGGGGGGGGGGAAATGTGCTTCTGGGAAGACTTTTGCTTTAACAGGATTTTTCTAAATTGAATCTGTTTGGCTTGGCTTGGGGAGTGGACTCAGTATTCAAAACCCATGAGACAAAAAGGAGGTGTGATACCTGTAATCACAGCACTTGGGAGGCTGAGGTGGGAGGACTGACAGGAGACCAGCCTGGGCTACACAGTGAGCTCCTGTCTCCAAACAAAAAAGGGTGGGGGAGGATGAAAAGAGAACATTTTCCATATGAACAACCACGCTGGCATACTGTGATGGTCTAATTGTAATAGTTAAATAGAATCAGTACTTGTATTGCTCTGATGACATTGTTACATTAAGCTGCGTTTTGCATTACAATACAGTGATGTATATAGAATCTTTGGTTTTTAGATCCAGGCTGTGTGCACTGAGCACCTCACACATGTTCCCTGTATTGTCATTGACCAATCCTATCAGTAGGAATAAAAATGTCAGCCCTCAAGTTTGATTCAGTAATATGGGTGTTACAGAGAACAGAGGAATCTGGTTTGATGGCTCCTTCCTAGAAATCCCAGCACTTGGGAGGCAAAGGAAAGGCAAAGATTTCCATGAGGTCAGCTTCGGGTATAGAGTGAGTTCCAGGCCAGCCTGGGCGATAGACCTTATCTCAAAACAAAACAACTAACAACAAAACAGTGAGGCAATCATGCGTCTCTTTCCCAAATAATTCTCTTCCAATCATATGTCCTATCTATTCTCTTTAGCCTCTGCCTGGACACAGGCTGTGTTCTCCTGTGTAGATGAACTTCTAAATGGTCTTATTAAATAAAAAACACGGAGCCAAATATAGGGGTGAAAGCCTTAGATCAGGGAAATAGGAAAAGCCACCAGCCAATCTTACTTCACCAGCTCTGCAGCTTCCAAATGTGAGCTACTTCCTGTCTTACCTATGCCTTTATTGCCTTGCTGTTCTGCCCTCTCATTGGCTCTTAGCCCAGCTACCTCACTCCCTTGTCACTGCCTGTCTGTACAGACCTCCAGGTCTCTATGGTTGGTACTGGGATTAAAGGCGTGTGTCACCATGTTTGGCTCTGTTCCCTATTATGGCCTTGAACACACAGAGACCCTGCCTGCTTAGTGATCGGGATTAAGGGTGTGTGCTGCCTGACTTTGTTTACTTAAAATGGCTGGCCTTTCCCCCCTGAACTCCAGGCAAGCTTTATTAAAGCACAAATAAAATATCACCACACTCTTGACCTGTCCTTCCTTCCTTCCTTCCTTCCTTCCTTCCTTCCTTCCTTCCTTCCTTCCTTCCTCCCTCCCTCCCTCCCTCCCTCCCTCCCTCCCTCCCTCCCTCTCTCCTTCCTTCCTTTCATTTTTTGAGACAGGGTTTCTCTGTGTAGTTTTTGGTGGCTGTCTTGGATCTTGCTCTGTAGACCAGGCTGGCCTCGAACTCACAGAGATCTTGTTGCCTCTGTCTCCCGAGTGCTGGGATTAAAGCTGTGGGACACCGCCCGGCAACCTGTCCTTCCTTGACTCTGTCCCAGGGTGATGGTGGCAGATGATGCTCTTTGCATGAGCCTGGGAAGCAGAAAATGGGGACAGTGTTTGTTGTTTCATTCCTAGTGTCTCATGTTGCTCAGGGTGACTTCAAACTCATGATCCTCCTACCTCAGCCTCCTGAGTGCTAGGATTACCACCAACCAGCAAGTGTCACTTTCATCAGAGGAAAACTTGTTCCAAGAAAACTGAATCAGGTTATAAATCAGAAGCCAGATGCAGCAGGTTGGTTAGCTTGAGAAAAGATCAAACTTTGAAATGACCCCTCAGAGCTGGGCGGTGGTAGTGCATGCCTTTAATCCTAGCACTTGGGAGGCAGAGGCAGGTGGATCTCTGTGAGTTCGAGCTCTGGTCTACAGAGCGAGATCCAGGACAGGCACCAAAACTACACAGAGAAACCCTGTCTCAAACAAACAAAAAAATATCCTAGAGAGGTACTTCATTAGGAGAGAGTCTCAGCATAATAGGGGTCTTGAAGAAAAACCATCTGATCCCCAAGGATTTTTCTGACTTGTATAGGTTTCTATGAAGTAGCAGGAAGTTTCATACCATGTGATTTAGTCTAGTGGGATCTACATGGAGCCAGGTACTAGATAACCTTGTATTGTAATGAGAGGGAGAGTCTGCAAAGCCACAGAACAGCACCGCTTCTTAACTGTATCTAGAGAGCTGGAGAGCAGCCGAGGAGGTGGCTAACTGTCTGGGATAGCGAGAAAGGCACCCAGAGGGCCTGGGATCTAACAGCATGTCCCTACTCTTGGCAGTCCAAGTCTCTGCTCGCTGCAGGGTTTCTGTTGTCATTGCTTAATGCCCAGCGTCTTGGACTGCCCTTCCATGGCTGTAGGAAGAAGCTAGGGAGGGCCTCAAGTGTCACCAGCATACGGGCTCAGGTTCAAAGACCCTGTCAATACCTCTAAGGGGGATAGCCTTACCATGGGTGACACCAAGTGGGAGGCAAGATGGGGTTTCCTATTCTTAGGGGGCTTCTGTTTACTCAGTGGGAGTCCCCTTGCTCATTTCTCCCTTTGAGTACCCCGAAAGCTCACTGTCACCCCCATCAACTATCTTTGCTTACAGAGATACTTTGAGCAGCCCCCACTTCTTGGTCATCAGTGGGTAAAGCACACAAGTGGGGCAGCTGAGTCACTGGCAGGGGAGGGGAGGGGAGGGGAGGGGAGGGGCTGCCTCCTCTGGTGATGAGGCTTTTGCCAGACCCCAGCACCTTCCCCTCTACCACTGTGGCTTTGCCTCACTTCTTGTTTTTAGAGCCCATGTGTTTGGTGTTGGATGAAAGTTTGTGTTTGCACACCTATCAGGAGTGCACTTTGTGTCTGTGACATAGGAGTGTCTAGTGTGTTCCCAAGTGTGCGATGTTAGGAATTAGAAGGCTCAGAAATGGAAAATATTTAACATTCAGAGGAGCAGATGAACAACGTTGTCATTTGCATTTTCCTTTTCGCTCTGACTCATCTTCCCCTATCTCCACCCTGCTGCCCCTTCACCAGCCTCACCCACCGACACACCCAGACTGATCTAGGAAGGTTTGACACCTGCCTGCATCCTAGCTAGGACCAGAGGGAAGGAAGGCATCCTGGGTCTGGAGGGAGAGAGTAGCAGAAGGCAGGTCTGAATACCTTGGATCCTGGAGCCAAAGGGAGAAGAAAAGCTAATCTTACCTGATTGGGTCTAGGAGGGGGCTGGAATCTAGGGAGAAACCTATGGGGACTCAGACTGATTCTTGTCACCACAGCGGTCTATCAACATCTGGCTAGTTTCTCTCCTAGTTATTTATTGCACCTATAGGACACACCAGACACAATCCATGAATATCCCAAAATATCTGTTAAGTGAATGAAATGACCTGCTGAAGGATCAGATTGATGGAATGGAAAAAAACAACAGAAAAAAAAAAAAAACTTGAGTCTCGAAGGCTTTATCCCTTCTTCATCTGAAAGTACCAGAGCTGGGTATGGTGACACTGGCTGAGGCAGGACAGAGATTTTAAGGACACCTTGAGCTACACAGGAAGAGGAGAGAGAGAGAGAGGAAGGGAGGGAGGGAG